CAAATGTTTATCATTTGAACAATGAGAAATATTCTCATGAATATAAACAAAACAACCTCTGAACATTACAAATATTCGCCTCAACTCAATCTGGAACCTCTCTCATAGTAATACAATACAAAGTGTGTGTGTGTGTGTGTGTGTGTGTGTGTGTGTGTGTGTGTGTGTGTGTGTGTGTGTGTGTGTGTGTGATCGTTGGAGCTATGTGCAACTCAAGGCATGTGCTCGAACGGAGCTGTCTGGACGCTGCAATCATGTTGCACTATCTGTGCTGACTTTTCGTACCATGTCCCACTGTCTGGCTACCTGCATAAAGTGAAGTGCTCGGCGCAGTTGTCGGCGAAATGCCGCTCCTCTGTTTTCATTGAAACAGCTCCTTATATCCGTTAGCGCAGCTAGCTAGCACCAGATGCTAACAAAAACAATACACGTAAGGTGTGCCCTTTCTCTCTCTCTCTCTCTCTCTCTCTCTCTCTCTCTCTCTCTCTCTCTCGCGCCACACATACACACACCCTCCCGGTCTTCCTGATGGCCAGTCGGTGCCTGCCAGTGAGCGTGGAAGAGTGGTCTGCCGCAAGCGGACGGCAGGAGCGGGGCTGTCAGCATCAGCTTGGAGATGGTATTTTAAACTCGATGCGCTCTGAAACTACGGGGCGGCCGAGGACAAAAAATACACATGCGTTAATTGCATAATTATTTATTGCGTTAGCGCGTTATTAACGCGTTAACTTGACAGCCCTAATATCTAATATATATAATAATATAATAAACTACATCAGTCAGATGACTTCACGTGACCACCCCAAGCTAAAGGAGGCTAGCGTTCAATGACTTTCAGCAGTCTCATTTAGCCATTTGTTACCAACCATAATTTAAGTGTAATTTAAGTCGGGTATTTACTGACGTTATCAGTCGGGTATTTACTGATGTTTTTTTAGGTTGTAAAACAAAACTTAAAAATCTCCCCAGCTTGAGTTAACCACAGACCTGTGGTCAGGCATCTAACCCAAAAAAAACATTGATTTTGACACAAGGGAATATACAGTGCTTGACTGCTAATGCATTGTTGTTATGTTTTGTTTGTGACTGTATACAAAACAAATGTCAGAGTTTGTCCTTTGCCTGTTTTTGACATTGTCTTTCCTCCATCCACAGCAAGAGGAGTGGACCAGCCATAACAACCATCTGGTGAAATACATCCGCACCAAGACCAAGCCTAACATCTTTTATGCGCCTGGGAAAATGTGCTCCGCCACACAGAAACTCCTCGACGAGTCCACCAAGAAACTCAATGGTGAGTAGGGGGCTTCTTTGCTAAAGTTTATGAGTTTACATTTTTGGTTCTTGTAGTAGCCAAAATACTTTTTTTACCTATTTTATTTTTCTATTGATTTGTTGGGACTGCAGATGTTGTATTTTGTTATTACTTCTGTCAATTGTCCTCTTGTTCACACATGTATAGAGGGCTTTTGGAGACGGAAAGGGCAGGCTCAGACATTTTCTAATGTTTCAAGGTCCTAATTTAGTCAAATATTTTTGTACTTTATTTAACGATACAATTATTGGAAATCTTTATTGTTTCGGGAGTGTTTTTGACCGTGTCATTGTAACGGGCCAAAGCAAAACAAATTATTAAATGTTTATTTGTTACATCTCCTTTTAAAATCCATAATTTTTTAATCTGTAACTTCTTGTTCTTTTTGTTTTTCTACAGCTGTGTTTGATGAGAGGCGTGAGGCTTTTGCCGAGCACCTCAGTAAGATGGAGTCCCGCCCCCGGCGGCAGCCAAACCGCGACCAGGACGGCAACACCACGGGAACGGACCGCCCGGCGGAGGGTAAGCCAGCAGGTCAGGTAGTCAAGGTGACAGGTAACAGGGGGGATGCAGAGATGGAGGAAGACGATGAGGAGGATGAGGAGATGGAGGAGAGGGATAAGGAAGGGGCTAAAAAGCAGATTATTATGGAGGAGGGGGAGAAGGAAGTGTTGCAGAAGGTTGAGGAAGAGGTAGAGGGGATGGAGTTGAGTGAGGATGTTAGGAAAGTGGATGAGGAGGAGAAGGAAGGAGAGGGGGGGGTTAAAGCTGTAGAGGAGAAGGAAGAGAAGGAGCCAAGCCCAGGGTCAGAGGAGATGGAGGGGGAGGGAGAGAAACAGAAAGAGGACAGGACTATGGTAGACGAGGGGGATGCAGAGAAGAATCTCCCAGAGATACAGATTGAAAAGCCCCAGGAGACCCCGTCCTCCGAACCAAGCGCACCCAGCCAAGCAGCAGACAACGGGCCCCAGCCCCCCCCCATCCTCCCTGCGGAGGAGCTAGCAGAAAAGCCCCCCGAGATCCCAGAACCACAAAAAGCCTCCGTGGCTCCCGAACAGGAAGTGAGCACGCCTGGCCTCGTGCTGCAGAACTCAGCCGCTGAGAGCCACACTGCGGAGGGGAAACCGGAGGAGGCTCCCCAAAAACCAGCCGAGTCCCAGGAGGCCCCCGCCATCACCCCCTCACCCGCAAAGAAGGGAGAGGAGGGCGGGAGAGGCAGGAAGAAGGCAAAGGAGCCAAAGAAGAGTCGCAACACCTCCTCTTCGTCCTCGGGCTCCTCCTCCAGCGGGAGCTCGTCCTCTTCCTCAGGGTCCAGCCACTCCTCGTCTTCCTCCTCTTCTTCATCCGCGTCGTCAAAGAGCCGCAGTCGAGACCCCACTAAGCGCAAGAGGAGGCCGTCGGCGAGGGACAGGAAGAAAGGGGAGGAGAGGAGTCAGCGCAAGAGAGGGGGGAGCAGCGGAGGAGGGAGGGACTCAAAGGCGTCCAAGGAGAAGAAGAAGAGGAGGAGCGATGAAGGGAGGGGCCGGTCCTCCCGCGGCGATAGGGAGCATAAAGATAGAGACAGGAAGGACAAGAGACGCTAATCTGCTTCTCGTTCAGCTGTACGGTGACGCTGGCACACTGAGGGGCAATCAACTTCACTTAACTACACATAACGTTTTTAAACTAGCATTTTCCATTAAAATGCCACTTAAAGGCCTTTGGAGGATTTTTCTCCAGCGTAGGGATTTAAAAGTTGATAGAATTGGAGGATAAGTGCTTATAATTTCCCTTTTTTATATTTGGCAAAAGAAGTGTACCTGATTGGACGCCTTGCCAGGGCCAGATTAGCCAGGGTATTCAAAACACTTGGCTTTTAAAAGGCTGTCTGGACAGATGGTGTTGAATGTTCTCCATCCTAATGTCATAGGCTGGGGTTGCCGGTGGTTACGGTAGCACCATTCACTCACAGTACTGTTGTTTTTAAGTCGATGTGACAATGCTGTCAATCCACGTTTATTTGAATGTTGAATCAATGTGAAAGCCCTTGTACCTTCACCCTGCGGGTACATGTGTGATTTGCTGGTTTTTGAAAGTGTTTTTCCATTTTTTGTATTAACTGATAATCTGCTTCAAATTAAAGGTGAGATATTGGTGGAAATAAGTGTGATGTGCGTTTATTGAAATCATATTAAGGCTGGGACTGCTTAAATGATCTCCCATTAAATATTTAGGTTAAGTGTCAAATCACCAGGGGTTAAGGTAACCTCTTCAAATGTATGTTCAACAATCCATAAAACGGAAAAGCATAAAATACACTCTTAAAATAAAAGCTTAGAGCAAGAGATGTTTTGGGATTGTAGCTTGTCTATTAATTTAGAAAAAGGAAATGTCAACTGTTATCATTCTGTCTGTAGATCACATTTCTTTCTTTGTAATGTCTGCATCTTAAGAGGTGATAAATCAAAATGTCTCATTCTAAAAGCTTTCAAAATGTGATCATAGAAGGTTTGGAAAGTAACTCAGCACATCTACTGAAGTATTGAACACAGGTAAAACGATGAAGTATTGTACTTATTACATTACTTTCAATACAACCAATAAAGATTTAAACAAGCCCAAGAGTTTATACAAATGTTTGTTACAAATTAAATGTAACGAGAAAACAGTTTAGTCAGTTAGCAAATAGACAGATTTAATTGGCATCTATGAACATTGTTTAAGGTCTTTATTTTCTGCATTGAAGTATTTTTACAGTGTGGTATTTCGACTTTGCTATCGGATCTGAATACTTCTTCCAACACTGCTCAAGTTTAAACTGGGTTGTTAGAGATAACTTGGATTCATAATCTGAGGGTGATCATATCCTGGTTAGTGATGTGTGCAGTTGTGTATTGTAAGCATTAGGACTATTGCTTCATTGTCTAGCAAAGATCCCCAGAATGAACATCGGTGGCTATGCAGAGACCAACAATAAGCTCCACACACTTATGCAAATGAGTTTAATAGAACAATCAAAAATAACATCTGCTATGGTTGCTGTCCAGTCATGAGCAGGGATCCACGCTAATTGCAAATATATTTACAGAGTGTGTTCATGATCCTTTTGGTTTATCCTCAACTTTCATCCCGTCATGCAGAATCCTGACAGCTCTCTACGTGTCCTGGTTACATTATCTCCACCTTTAAATGTCCTTAAGTACATCCTGCTGCCCAAAGGCTCTGACATGTTCCTCAACATTGACACAGTCGAAGAGTTAAATCCTCACTCGGGCTGGTCTGCCAGGTCACTCTGCTCAAAGTACCTACAGGAAGGACAAAGGGAAATAAGCATGTGTTTAGCACGCAAGTATATCTGATAGTAATATTTAATTTAAATAATATGTTGGTGTTTTCAAACTATGTGTAGACTAGGCCTTACACTCTTTGTATTTGATTTATTATATGACCAAAGGCAGACAGCCTGATGTATTCAATGTCATATGGACTGACAGAATAAACTACCCAGGACACAGTGCTCGTTACCTGGCAACAAGACAGACGAGTAGGTTCAGGGCAGGAAGTTTCTCATCCTCCCCACTCTCCTGTGGAATCAGAAAAAGTGATGCTGTGAGAAGACATTTAAAAAGTCTTACAGCCCCCAGGAAGTGTGCCGGCCGTTGCAGCAAGTCCGTGACATCATTTGGCCCAGAAAGACTTCTTCCCATCGACTTACATTGAGAAAAAAAATCAACAGATATACTCAGTGTGGACCCTTAAATAGCCTTTATTCACATCACTAGGTCCTAGAAGTTGTATAATCCAGAGTTACTTTGTCTGTCCATTCATGAGACTGGCCATGTGGATTTGAGGCGGGGCTTAAGAAAAACACATGCCGTTGGTCCAGATTATTTATTTTCTCACTAGTCAAGCGATTATTTTCTTCATGTGCCCTAAGAAACATGTATATGAATGAACAGGGCCTCGAACACTGTATCCAGCTGTCTTCCTACATAAATAACAATGTACTAATAAACCGATCACTCCGAGTTATCCCTTCCTTCCTGTATTTAGCACCAAAGAAAAAATTAGGGGGAAAAGGCAACTTGTATATTTCCACTTGAATTCACAGGAAAGACCTCTGAGGACGGCAGCATTACAGTCTCAGCAAGGGAATCGTACCAGCGCACTGCGGAGCTGAGCACACCTCCTGGCCAGCTGTCGGATGCAAGAGTGGGCTTCAGGCAGCAGGGGCTTCTCCAGGCAGGCCAGCAGAGCGTACAGCCAGCGACCCTGTGACACACACACACACACACACACACACACACACACACACACACACACACACACACACACACACACACACACACACACACACACACACACACACACACACACACACACACACACACACACGAGAGAGAGAGAGAGTCAGTCAGGAAATACGTTTTGTTAAAGTCACCTTTCATATTTTAATCGTGGAAGGGGCTGCAAACTAAAACAAGTCTTTAATCCCCACATTCAGAAAACTAGTGCTCATTGCTGCTTTACCACGGTTAGAATAATTTTGCAATGGGGCTGTGTCCTACAATAGCATTTCAGGGGAGCCAAATGATATTATGGAGGTTGGGAGGAGAGGGTAATACTAAGAAAAAAGTCTAAAATTCCCAGATGAAAAAAACGAATTAACTAGAAATAAAATCACAAGATAAATACAATTAATTGAGATTATAGTCGTATCCATTTTGAACTGAATTTCAACATCCTGTCTTTGTCCAACTTAATAGCTGAGTGTTAACTTAATCAAAGACACTTTATAAGAATTGAGCACGGTTTTCAATTTACAACATTGCAATACGATCACAGCTTTGGACATGCGGATTTGGCAAACAATTAAAAAGCAGTGACTAACTAAACTCACCAACTGTGGAGCGAAGTCATTTTCCTCAAACCAGCCGACTAGAGTTTCCAACACCATCAGCACCGTGGACTGCAGACAAGAGGAAACTATTAATCAGACTGTCAAAGTGTTTCAGAATGAAATGTTCACAGAGAGAGTTACTGACCTGGTTCAGCCTGCTGACTATCGTGAGGAAGGGAGGGAAGCCCACCTGAGCACAGACACATGCTTTCATTATTATCTTTTAATACACTGCGTAGTTGAAAACTCGCCAATTTTGATTGCTAATTTTAAGTTTGCTCTTTTTTGCCAGTAGATGGCGGCTATTGTGATCTTTTAATCTGTGAAGCAATTTAAATCGCCACGTGCTGAAAAGTGCTATATAAATAAAATGCCTTGCCTTGCTAAGGAGGACACTCTGATCAATGTGCAGTCATATCAATCGGCAGAAAGAAGTCTGATAAATGTAACATGAGCGGGGGCCAAAGAAACACATTTGTTTTCTTCCGTCGGAAGCAATGCGATAATTTTTAGATCAAAAGAAGTAGTAGATCAGTAATAGGTATCTGTTTTAGAAGTGGGATATTTATATATTTTTTGCATTATTGACCGCCTCGCTGCACATTGTCGCTTGTTAACAACATGCTTTTAAATAATAAACAATGTAACTGTTATTTCTTTAGATCAAGCTTTAGGATACAGTCCTACTACTTTACTTTAAAAGGCATAGCTAACAGTTTTACAGATTTTTGAAGGCTGTTCTTCAAACTCCATGAGTTGTAATGCTTTGTAGGGTATATGCAGGAATCCTCAAGTCAAATGTGATACCTTTTAAGACCTTTTTTAAGACCCTTTCCATACATTTTAAGACCTCAGCGCCACTTTGAGTTTTAACCGGTTACATTGGCGACACACTTTACCTCAACTACCTACTATATACAGTATTGATTGTCCTTCCTCCTGATCTTCCAACCATTTGGACGCAGACTTGCATTTCCCCATAACGATGTTTAACAACCGGCGTAAACGGACCTTCGCGCGCTATCAAGCAGTGAGCGTGCGATGTCCTGTTCAGATGACGTTAAATCCAACGGGATACCATAAATAACCTACACAGAATAACACTACACACCTACGCAATGATTACATTCAGGCAGACTGTAGAACACAACCTCTTTGGACAATTTATATACTTATTGAAAACAAGCTACAAAATGTAATACCTTGGAAAATGCCATTTAATACTTTTTAATAGCCTTAATTTTCACTAAATTGATTTATCAACTTTTAATACTTTTTAAGACCACGCGGACACCCTGTTGTAAGAAATTCTGTAAGCTAAATAACAATAGTTCATTTATCTTTTTCTTATCACTATAATACAACCTTGCTGTAGTCCAGTGCTGGCTCTGCTTCAGCTGCTTCTGTCCGGCTGGATGAAGTGCCCAGATAGAGCGTCTCTCCAAAACAAAACTTCTTCCAGCCCTCCTCGTCTGTTATATCCGGCTGGACCACACACAGAAAATGTATTTATAACAAATGCTAAATCTCTTAATCAGTTTGCACCATTGTATATTTAAGATCCTCCTCACCATCTCCACGTTGTCGTCCAGAGTGTTGCTGCTCCAATGATTCCTGTTCTTTGCAATGCTCTAAGGGCAAAAGGCAGAACTGACGTATTTATGTCATAGAACTTTTTTTCTTAATATCTTAAGCTTGTGTTAACCATAGGGCTGTACAATTAATCGGATTTTAATCTCGATTACGATTTTGGCTTGCAACGATTACGAAAACAACGTAATCGAAATAAAACAATTGTTATTATTTTTTTTATACTTAAAGTTCAGGGTAATCAACTGTTAAAAACATATTGTTCACATTTTTTCATCGTTTTTTAATAATCGTGATATCAAAAATCGTGATTATGATTTTTGCCATAATCGAGCAGCCCTAGTTAACCACAGACCTTATTTCAGGCATCTAACCACAAACATGTTCAATAAAAACGTTGACTTCTAGACGAGGAAATCATGCTCATTCCTGGGTTTTAGGACGCATGCCTGAGCCATTATTTTTGTCATCCTCTGATATGGACCAAACCTTTCCAGCATTGCTTTTTATATATTTTATGGACTTGAGTAAAAAAAGGAAGACCAGGTTGTTTTAGTTCACCTGTCTGACATCTGAAAAGTTACTGACTTGGTGCTGCTGCCAACTGAGGCTGGGGCAGAACCCCACCGGAGCAGCATGGCACCCCGCCACCTGAGAGACAGAAACACCAGGAACAGTCAGACAATAGAAGGAATTGATACATTTTATATTATCTCATACAAGCTAGCATTACCCATGTGTCCCTGTTTGCTCATTTTACACTTTATGTGGGCAGCCTACTTCTAGTAAAACAATTATTGGAATTGCATATTTTAAAAACAACCATTCATCAATGTATTATTTATTTTTACCTTAACCAAAGCTACATTTAAACAGAGACAAATTGCATTAGAATTATTATTTATTGCACTTTATGTTGAGGTTTTTCTGTTTGTGTACTTTTACTCACAGAGGCATTAATTGTTTGTTTCTTCTTCAGTTTCTTGGGGTCAATCTGAGCCACCACCACCTCTGGACACTGTGACGCCTCCAACCTGGAGAAAAGCAAAAACATTGGTATTTCATTAAAATATAAATACTTTCTAAAAATATAGGTTATTAAATGTTGCTATTTTCCCTCAACAGGTACTTTTTCTAAATCTTGATCAAGTGGAGTGAGTAGTAGGCATGATAAAATAAATAATAAGAGTATACTGTGGTTTATTTATTATATTATTTCATCACCTGTCAAATTTTTTTGTTTTATCATATCGAAGTTAAACGCCTCCAAGGTTCAAATGTAAATAATAGTACTACAATTTTGTTTTGTTTTACTAAATTAATCTATTTGCAGTAACACTAATACGATGTAACAAAATGACTGAAATCAATGGTGTTCCACAGGAAAAAGGAGGAAGAGCAAGTAGCCCACAGTAGCCTACTTCATTCAAGCAACTGGCTCTAGTGACGCACTTCGTAATAACAACAAACATAGTGAATACATACGAAGAAATGCACTTTAACAGCCATGTTGTCTTATTTGCAAGTTGAGTATTTTTCAACCAAGGGTAGAAATGGAAGCATGAAAACAATATTCATTGTACTGGCTTTCGAAACATCACGTGCCCTCTACTATCCACCATGTTTACAGTGTTTCCGGTGCCAGTATCAGTGTAATAGCGTTACACTGATACTGCACTATCATTAAAGTTTAAAGGGGAGTGTGTCTCTGTTCAGAGGGCGACTTACTGGACCTGTCGGAGGTATTCCCGGGGGTTTCTCGGGGGTCCTTTCAGGTCCAGTTCTTCTCCACTGGCTCCAAACTCAACGGGCAGCAGCCTCGGCATTAACTCCTCTACGTCAGACTTCATTTTTAAGCTAATACCTTACAACAACCTTAATGTAAACTGTCGCCAACTGCGAATGAAACGCCAACTTGCAACAGAAAACGACCAGAACAATGAACTTTTCACAGGTGTTGAAAAGTGCTCTCCAACTAGATGGCCATCTTGGTTGGTTTGACACGCGGAGTGATGACGCCGTATTTGCGCGCGGCGTTTGTTGTCATGGTGATGAACGCCATACGTGTTGACATATTTTTAGATAAAGGCTGAAGTCCATAAAACACACGTTAAACTTTCCAAAACGCTGTCGCCATCTTTGTTTATTTATTTCACGGTGAAATGCCAATATAGATGATCTTCTCTAACATTGAACTGAAATAAAACCAAATAAAAACCTTTGACCTGTGACCAAGCAGCAGCTGGATGTTAATGATTATCCCAACGTTGGCCTTATATCTTATCTCAGCTCTCCCATTTACTATTGAGTCTTCATGACAGCAGCAGCTTAGAGGCAATGTCCACATGGACATATTCTCTTGATACGCTCCTATTAAACCATTAACTATGGCTGTTTCAAAGGCCAACAGTATTATGTGGTGTACAGGCATAGTGTTTGTGATTTTACCTCACTTGAATCTGGGAATGTTGTCCGACTACAAGATCTGTGGAGACTCTGAATGTGAAAGTAAGTGTCCATTTGCTAATATATCCTTAAAGTTGATGATGGTCCACTATACAGTTTTCTAAACTATTTAATTATGATAATACCGTTATTATTTCGGTTGTCATTTAGTGCTTTGTTTATTTATTCTTTGCACACAGCATTAAACTGCATGAGACCGCTCTTAAAATTCAGGGAAATTCACAAATAAATACAACAAAACAAATAATGACAATAAGAAGTATGCACAAAACCATAACATTACAGGAAATATTTAATTAAATCATTTACTATCTCAATCACTGATGAGTGTGTCTGTGTGTGTGTGTGTGTGTGTGTGTGTGTGTTTGTCTAGGCCTGATGAGTAGAGTGCAGGCCATCAGGGACCACCGTGGTAAGGACTGTCGTTTCCTTACCTTTAGACGAGGAGACACCATCTTTGTTTACCACAAACTGACTGGAAGAAGGAACGAGTTCTGGGCCGGCAGTGTGAGTCTGATATATCCCCTCTTCTCTCTTTAGGCCGTAACACAACACACACAACTCAAGCCCTCATCTCAGGTTGTAGGTTAACGAGATTAGTCGTGATTACAATACAGATACTAGGTTCTCTGATTGAATCTCACACTCCAGTTCATTGATATAATTATATAATGATGTACTTAACAGACAGAATGAGTAGATAAATCACCACTTATTTTTTATCTTTTATTTTGAAAACCCCTTTACTTAGGCTATCCCCCTGTAAGAGAACAGTCTTTTTTGTAATGTATTAAGATAACGTTTATTTTTCCTTAACGAGTTGATATCAATTATCAAGTGGATAATATAATCCACAAAGACCAATGCAAAAGTACCACTTTAAAATGTATGTTTACTAGTGATTTGCACATACGTTTCTTGAAAATAAGTCCATCCTCATGAGAAAAGCTTTAAAAATGATGAATCGACTAAAGAAATCTTAGTCGATAAAGTGCCCAATAAGGGGAAACCCCAGAAAAAAGTGTTTCCTTATCTGTTTTTCCTGTCCTTCTAATGACTATGTGCCGTTTATTCCATTCCTCTACAATGCTGCCTTGGCTTTACACAACTGCTTACTTTTGATTTCAGATTGACAAACAGTTTGGCTATTTCCCAAAGGATGCAGTGCAAGAGGAGCAGGTTTATGCTACTAAGGAGAACATAGTGGAAACACAGGTAAACAGGCATTGATTTCAGTAAACTGATATATGGTATATTATTTACCCTGAGTAAGTCGTTTTTGAATCTGTACAAGATGAAACCGAATTCCTTATTTCCTTTCTTCATTCAGGACTCTGATTTCTTCTGTATGGATGAGTATGGTTACCCACTTGACTCTAGTCATCTGGACAGTGAGGAGGAGGATGTTGATCAGAACATACTAAACCAGGAGTCTGAAAGCACCCAAACCACACCATACAACGATGACACAAACACGGAAAGTCCTTCAACACCTGCAGTTTTTTCTACAGAATTTCCAATCTCAGCAGAGGAAGAGGACGAAGATAAAAACGCTGGGGATGCTGGCGATGCCGGGACTCAAGAGGAAGTACAGGAGCCTCCAGGAACTCTGAAGGAACAAGGTGGGTCTGAACCCTCTTACTGGCTGGGTCCTTCAGTGACAGGATGGTTAGGTCTAGCTAAAGAGGAAGAAGAAACTGGCATTTTGGTTGAAGGAGAGAACAAAAAAGAGACAAAGGAGATGCAGGCCGATGCTTCTGTTGCTTCTTCTGTGACAGGATGGCTGGGGTTGGGAGGAGAACCTATTGATGATGCACAGGAAAGTAAAGAAGAAGACACGAAGACTGATCATTCTTTCACTTCAACCATGTCTGGGTGGCTTGGTTTTGGAGGGGAGGAAAAAAACGATCCCTCGACAGAAAAAGAGCGAGAAGAAGAGCCAGCAGATATGTTCAGAAGTAGGCGGATATCTCTGGACCTAGAAGGTAGCCAGTCACATGAAGAAGAGAAGGAAGAAATGGGGACATTGGGTTGGCTAGGAAATGGGCTCTCAAACACGCTGGGGTTTGGTCGGACTGATCAAGAGTCAGAAAAAGAGGCAACACATGAAAAAAAGGATAGGGGGGTAATCAAGGAGGAGGAACAACCGGTGTCAGATTCTTGGTTGAATATGGGGATTGGGGACATTTTAGGCTACAGGAAAGAGGAGAGTGAAGTGGATGAGAGTGAAGAAGGTAGGTTCAAGGAGACAGAAGAGAACCAAACTTTAGACCAAGAGAATGTGGATACCAGTCAATCTCAAGGTGAACTGACAGGTGAGGTAAGAACAGAACCTAGCAGTGAATCAAAGGTTGAAGAAACTCCAAAAGACCAAAATGATGGCAGTAATTATATTTATATGGGTACTTTAGACAGTAAGTATAGTGTCTTACCTGAAGATGCAGAATCCAAGGTTGATGTAAAATATATTTCTCCAAAGACTATAAATGGCAAAGATCATCAGATGCCCAAATCAATAGAAAAAGGGGGTGAGGATAGCAACAGAGAGTCAGGAGAAGATTTCAGAGCTAAAAGTGAAACTGATCAGGATTTTTTAACACAACCTAACCTCACTTTAGGGCCTGACTCAAGATTTTTGGATTTAAATTCGAATGCTGCAGGACAATCTGTAGGCGAGGCTGAGAAGGGCACAACAAAGGGTGTCCTCGAGGAAGGGGTCAAGGTACCGATTCAGATCATAAACACGGAAGCATCCACCAATATGGTCGGGGCACATAGTCATGAAAGTGAAAGGAATATCGCAGAGATGGAGGTACTTGATGATTCTGATTCTATGATTAATAATAACACAGAAACCAAGAGGGAGTTGCACCCTTTGGAGAGCAGCTCTCAGGACATTGAGTCATCCCATTCTAGAAATAGCGGTACTGACACTCTGTATGAAAATGCCTCAGATATTGAGAGAAGAACGTTATCCACAAGTGAGAGCACAACACAGATGGAAAACAATGCAGGTCAGGACTCTCCAAGTTTGCCACAGGAACACTCACAAAGTGATGGCGATTCACATGAGCTTAAGGAAACAGTTAAGGAAATTGAGGATGATCGTGAAAACAAAATCCAGCCAGTTCAAACTGAGAGAGAAACATTGGAGTTTGAAGAGAACATTCTAAATGAAAGTGGTCTAAAGTCAGCTATAGGCCTGGAAAAAGACATGAAGACTGAGGAAGTAGGGGAGTTAAAGGTAGAGGGAAATCAGGACGAGGTAGCAGAGTTAAAGGAAGAGGAAAAACAGCAGGAAGTGGTGGAAATAAATGAACAGGGCAAACAGGAGGAAGCAAAAGAGATACAGAAAGAAGGGAGCCAACGGGAAGTGCAGGAGATACAGAATAAGGAGAAACATCAGGAAGTAAAGGAGACAAAAGAAGAGAGGAAACAGGAGGAAGTGAAGGACATAAAGGATGATTCGGAACAACAGGATGAAGTAGAGGAAAAAAAGGAAAAGGAAGAACAGGAGGAAGTGAAACAGGAGGAAGTGAAGGAGATACAGGAAGAG